GATGTTACCAGTTCATAATGATTTGTTTGGATTTTATACTAGGTTTTCTTACGCACTTGTACAAGTGTATAAATATGTGATTCAGATGGGCTGCAAATAGTTTATGGTGGTTAGCTAGTCTTTTTGCCCTGAATTGTGAATTACAACGTAATAAATATCCCTAGCTACAACTTATGAACAATGTTATATATATTATTTGGGGTTATTTTGGTTTTATCTATGATTTGATGTGATCTGTCTGATAGGTTCATGAAGGTGTTGTGGAAGATGTCGCATGGCATCTGAGGCATGAATACTTATTTGGTTCAGTAGGCGACGACCAATACCTACTAATATGGGATCTGCGAACTCCTACTGTTAATAAGCCTGTACAGTCCGTAGTTGCTCATCAAAGTGAGGTAGGTGCTACTGGAAGATAAATAAAAATGCTTTCAATGTTAGTGGGTTGTGAGGTAGGTGCTACTGGAAGATAAATAAAAATGCTTTCAATGTTAGTGGGTTGTGAATGTATGGTTTCTTCGTGCAAATGAGGAAGTTCTCCTTTCGTGGTTACATGCCAAGATAAGTCTAATGAAATAATCTGAATGATCGTTCGTTCTCCAGCAACCAGTTTTATCCATTTGAGCTCGAAATTATGTGACACTAGTATCCACTATGGTAATGAAATAGATGCTGACATTTTAGCTTCAATGAAATAAATTCTCTTGTAATTTTGCCTCAGGTCAATTGCTTGGCATTCAATCCCTTTAATGAGTGGGTGGTAGCCACTGGGTCAACTGATAAAACGGTTAAGTTGTTCGATCTACGTAAGATCAGCTCTGCACTCCATACCTTTGACTGTCACAAGTATGCATCTTCCTTGGATTATGAAGTTTATTAATCTCAATTTTGCTTGTCAAGTGCTGGAAACACAGCACATGAAGCCACACGTCTAGACACATTTGAAAACCTAGTTTATTGCTGTTGCGCACGTGTTTTTGAACGTCTATACTTCTATGTTGTGCAACAGGGAGGAGGTTTTCCAGGTTGGCTGGAATCCAAAGAATGAAACAATCTTAGCTTCTTGTTGTCTTGGTAGAAGACTCATGGTTTGGGACCTTAGCAGGTAATGTTATCAATGAACTCTAATTACATGGATATTTTGTTTTAGTAACGACCCCTTAAACCTGTCCCGTGATATCTGATTATAAAAAAAGGTTGGTTGCGAATAAGCCAGCCATAAACCCAATCCTGTATAACTACATATATTTTCTCTTGATACCGAATGAAATCTTAAAAGATTCGCTGTGAGATCCCACATCGGTTAGAGAGGGAAACAAAACATTTCTTGTAAGGGTATGAAAACTTCTCCCTAGTAGACGCATTTTAAAATTGTGAGGCTGATGACGATACGTAACAGGCCAAAACGAACAATATCTGCTAGTGGTGGGCTAGAGTTGTTACATTCACCCACTTCTCAACCATATTAAATAGATGATTCTGATACTCAATTTTCATAAACGGGATTTCGTTTTTGGTTTTCTTCTGCAGGATTGATGAGGAGCAGACGCCCGAGGATGCGGAAGATGGCCCACCGGAGTTGCTGTTCATTCATGGCGGTCATACCAGTAAAATATCAGACTTCTCTTGGAATCCCTGTGAGGACTGGGTGGTTGCTAGTGTAGCTGAAGATAACATACTCCAAATCTGGCAGATGGCTGAGAACATCTACCATGATGAAGATGATTTGCCAGAGGAACCTCCAAAGGCCTCTTAGTGTTTTCCTCTCTCTCTCTCTCTGTATTTCAGTTATTACAGACAATTAAAATCTATCAAGGGACCATTCATTATTAGGTCTTCCAATTCTCAGTAGTCTTCTTCTTCTTCTTCTCCTTGTTCCACAGAGCACGACCGCCCCGGTTGTGAGCGTTCGAGGAAAGAATTACTTATATAACTGTATGCCGTAGGATGATGAATGGTGAAAGGATGTGCTTTGTAGGGTCTGTCCTTCCTAAACTTCAGTTCACTGCCTTCAGTAATATACTAGTGTTCATTCTTAGGGTTTATAATGATTCACTATTAACTTTTCTAGGGCCAAGGCTTTGCAAGTGTTACAATTTGTACTTATTATTGTTTTAAAAATTAGAGTATATTATGCATAACATTAGATTTTGTTTAATAAGTCATTAAAATTTTTTATTACCTCATATATTTATTACCTATTATATGTCTAATGTCAAAAGTTCAAATACTAATTTACTATTAAAAACATAAATTGATTTATTAGCCATAAAATTAAAGGAGTTTAAAGGCTTATTTAGCCTAATTAAAATATAAAAACTAAACTTATAATTTAACGTACAAATAGGTGATTAAGAAGTCTGTTCGATCCATTCTCTAGAAGATTCCACAATTCTTGATGGGATATTCAATTACAACAATCACCCACTCTCCAAATCAACTTTTGAGCTGCAATCTTGTTGACAAAGACAAAGATTGGAAGGAACCAATCTGTCAGTGTTCTTTTAAGCTATTCAAGCCTTGAGATCTCATCGAATACTCCTTCACCAGTTTGGAGAAGAAGGAATCATCTCTTTCGAGTAATTTTCCGGGCGAGTCGAACTCGGCAATCCGTCCTGTTGATAAGAAAATAATTGAGGTTCACTTTCAGTAACTTTGTAGCTAATCAATGAAAGATTCATGCATGCTTTCAGTAACTTTGTAGCTAATCAATGAAAGATTCATACATACTTTCAGTAACTTTGTAGCTAAATACTCTCAGTAAATCAATGAAAGATTCATGCATACTTTCAGTAACTTGGTAGCTAATCAATGAAAAATTCATATATACTTTCAGTAACTATGTAGCTAAGTACTCTCAGTAAATCAATGAAAGATACATAGGACTAAACTTCGTACTCACCATCACTGAGAACCAAAACAAGGTCGCTGTCAATAACTGTGTGGATTCTATGAGCTATGGTGATTACTGTTTGATTTTCGAACTCCTGCCTAATGATACTTTGAATGATGCTGTCAGTTGCTGAATCGACAGAGGCTGTGGCCTCGTCGAGCACTAGAATGTTGCTTTTCTTGAGCAATGCCCTTCCAAGACAAAATAGTTGTCGTTGACCAACACTCCAATTTTCACCATTTTCAACCACTATCAACAAAATTCAAAGCTTAAGGATAGATAGCGTCTAATTTAAAGTTTTGTTTTGTGTTCCAAGTTGATAAACCAAACCTGGAGAATTCAACTTCATCTCCTTCTCACGCACCAATCCAACCAATTGACATTTATCTAAAGCCTGAAAATGCAAAAGAGAGAAAAAAAGTGGCATGAATTCTACATTCTTTGCTGGTGATTGTCACATAGAAAATTGTATATAGATTTTGCAGATAAGAAAGGTTACCTCCCAGATTTCTTGGTCAGAATACTGTTCTAGTGGGTCGAGATTTCCTCGAACCGTACCTTCGAACAACAAGGGGTCTTGAGGGATGATGCTAAGTCTTGATCTCAGGTCATGGAGGCCAATCTTACAAATGTCAACATTGTCTATAACAATGCTTCCTCCTCTAGGTTCAACTATCCTAAAAATGGCCTGAATGAGGGTTGATTTCCCACAGCCTGTTCTTCCTACAACACCCACTTTCTTCTTTCCTGGGATGACGCAGCTGATGTCTTTTAGGACATCCGGAAGATGGTCCGCATAACGAATCTACGACAGGTTCAAGCTCATTAGAAGTAATGGTGCAAAATGGAAAAAGAGTATCAGTAAGAGTGAATTGTATAGCATATCGAACTTGAACTTTCGAAACTCATCACTAGCCTGATAGGGCTGAGTCCGATAAATTGTATGAGCCCAGTAAAATGATTTAGATATTTTAGGAATAGATTGACTGGTCTCTACTATAAATACCCATCCACCCAACCTAAGTTTTCATCCCAAGAAATACAAAGCACAAAGTACAGCAGTAGTTTCTATAGAGTTTATTGTAATCTATTCTCAATTGGTGTTAATAAAAAGTGCGAGAGTTTCCCATGCACAACCTCAAACTTCACCCAAGTTCTAGATTTTATTGTTTATTTTCTATTTCGTGGGGAGGCTTACCTGCAAATTCTTGAAAGTAATACTCCCCTCTTGCGGCCAATTGCTTGGTGGTCTGCAGTCTTCAATAACAAGGGGTGCTTCACTTTTTATCTTCGAGTACTGAAGAATTCTTTCCACTGAAATGATTTTTCTCTGTGCGCTGCATATACTCCATATGACTAAAGCCTGTAACCAATTCAAGTTTATCCCATACGATATTGCCAAGCCCGCATTACCTGAAGAAGATTTCAATTCATTATGAATACCATATTCTTTCTACTTAATTTGGGTCAAAAGAAATAAACTTTTATTTCAGATAACTGACATTTGATGAAAACTTGGTCTATGAAGAAGATATTCAAAGAAATAAACTTTTATTTCAGATAACTGACATTTGATGAAAACTTGGTCTATGAAGAAGATATTCAAAGTTTTAACTCAAACTTTCCACTTCTGATTTCCAACTTCAATTGTGAAGCACATTACATTATAAAGTACTCACCTGGGTCGATAGTTCCTTCGGGGAGAGACACCAGCAAAGCCAATGAAAAGGCAAAAACAAAATGTGATAGCGCGTTCAATCTGAAGTAAAGCCACTCCATAACTGAATTATTATAGAACCATGTCTTTGAAAAGCCATCAATAAGACGAAGGTTAGTATTGAAAAACCGGTCTTCATGATTGAAGGCACGAATAGTTGCTGCTCCTGCTAGGGATTCTGCATAGTGGTGCAGGATTGGAGCTTGGTGAATCCCTGCTAACCGGCCAACTTCTCGTGCTGTGGGTGTGTAATAATGCTACCATATACAGAAATTACTTGATTAGTAATCGATATATAACACAAGTTTGTATACTTCTAGTTGAAAAGAGTGAAATTGCTTACTTGGTACCAGATGCAGGCTGCAGTAACAGGTACCAAAATGGCAAAGACTTCCCATGCTACTTGAGACATTACTACAATGGTCCCTAGCAACCGAATTACTGAGAATGCACACCAACCTAGCTTTACAGCCATGGCTAAGTCTAAAATACTTTGATCACCTGATGCCTGGCAACAGAGAGTATACACAGGTTTCTCAGTATTGAAATCCAACGACCTAATGCAATATTTTGGAACTTTCTTGTTACCGGTTTCTTTGTCACATTTCATCGAAATGTTGCAAATTTGAAAGTGTGTTTTTTCAAGCACCATTCAAGGTAAAATTTAAGGTTATAATTACCCGGTTAAGAATTCTTCCAGTTGGGGTTGTGTCGAAGAAATTACCGCTAATAATAATGATCTCAGCAGCAAGCCTAGTGAACTTCCAACAGCAAGTAGAAAATATACAAGTAGCATAATATTCATCCCAACTTTTGGTTCTGTCTCGCTTGTAGTTGGACAAGCCCATGTCATCCAATAATTACTAGCAATCTGTAGTGCTTGGAACAATGTGTGTGCCAAGACTATGATTGGGACAAAAATTCCTCCATTTATTCTGGTCATGTAAGATAGGTACACTTCTTTTCCTATGCTTCCTTTCTTTCTCTCTTCCTCTTGTATTAGTTTTCCCTTTTTTTCCATCATCGGCTGTGTAGAATTATTTTGTTCAATTTTGGAGTTCTGAGGATCTGCATTTGTGATAGAATCTCCATTTAATTCTTTTTCACGTTTTTCAACTTGAGATATTCTACTTGAGTGTTCAACAGAGAGAATTGACTCAAGAGCTTGATTATGTGCCCCAACTAAAGCTTCAAATCCAAAATTTTGTTTCAGAAGTTCTTCAAATCCTCCAACTTGCACAATTTTTCCATTTTGCATCACCTGGAAATGCGGATGGAAAACAAGCACACCTACTATTAGACAGTAGCTCAGAAGTTCAAAAGCTCACACTCAGTCCAAAAATTTCAAATTGTGGTGTTCAGATGATCAATAATAAGATTGGTTAATCAAGGTAAATCTGAATGAAATACAGCCATTCCTGAATATGGATTGTTCTCAACTTACATGCATCCGAAGTTCGAATAATTTAGGCAATAAATACAGCTACGAACATAGAGAAGAGTTTCTACGAAATTTTCTCACCAGAATGAGGTCTGCTGCTGGTAGAAATTCAACTTGATGGGTTACATAAATTATAGTTTTCTCTTTGAGAGCACCCATCAGACAGTCCTACAGAATGATAAAAAAACAACAACAACGTTCTGTTAGAGTGGTCCAATACATTTTAGCCTTCTCACTTTTTCACCCGTTAATCAATGACCCAACTAACCTTGAAAAGTTGGGTTCCTGTATGAGCATCAACAGCACTAAAAGGATCATCAAGGAGATAAATATCTGCATCTTGATAAACAGCACGAGCAATTTGGATCCGCTGCTTTTGTCCCCCACTCATATTTATCCCTCTTTCTCCAATTTCGGTTAGATCACCACATGGAAACAACTCTAAATCTTTCGTCAAAGCACAGGCAGTAATAGTCCTGTTATATTTGGTAGTTTCGTATTCATTTCCAAAAAGAATATTCTCCTTGATATTCCCCGACAGTATCCAAGGAGACTGAGGAACATAAGCCTTTGTACCACTGATCTTCACAGTCCCAGAAAGCTTTTCTATTTCACCAAGAATACATGAGAGCAGACTGGACTTCCCCGATCCAACAGTCCCACAAATTGCCACCTTCATCCCCCTTTTCACCTTCAAGTTTATTTGATCAAGAGATGGGTTGATGGACTCTGTGGCCCAGCTGAATATTCCATTTTCTATCTCTATATCAAATTCTGTCTGATCTTTTGGAACATAAATAATGGCATCCTGCTGTATTTCATCTACTTGGAGGAAGGAAGCGACTCTATCTACTGAGACTTTTCCCTGGATAAATGCAGATAGTACGTCGGGAAGACTGAATATAGGATCTTGTAGCATTTGGAATGTCGCCAATGCAGAGATGACTTTTCCAGCAGTCAATTCTATGCCCAATAAGGTACAGAGTCCAAATGTCACAAGAGAGATCAGAGTAGGTGATCCCCAAAAGAGAAAAGCTGTAAATGCTGTTAATTTGGACGACTTCCATAACCAATCAAGCTCCACTTTTCTTAAACTTTCTATCTTTTGGAGATATTGATGATCCCATGCTTGAAGTTTGAGTATCTTCATATTTCTAAGAACCTCTGAAGTAGCTTTCATCCTATTGTCCTTAGCCTCCATGATCTTCTTTTGGTAATCTTTCAGGACATTGGTCAAAGGTACGTTACACGACATGATAATTAAAGTTGTAGCCATTGCACCCAATGACCCCATACCCAGATTTGTATGTAAAATATAGATAGCTAATGAAATTTGGACTGGCAACATCCATATCATGTTCAAGTACCAAGCGAAGTCTGTGATCCTTTCAACATCAACACTCATGTAGTTTATGATCTCTCCACTGGTATGACTTTGGCGAGATCGACTAGATAGACGGATACCCTTCTTGTATATATGAGAAACTAAAGCACTCCTGAGGTGAATGCCAAGTCGACGTGCCTCGAAAATCCATTGCCTTTGAGCAATCGTCTCAATTACCTTTGCACTTAGAAAAGCAAGTGCAAGAAGATATCCACTTGATAAGCTACGTCCCTTCTTCTCAGTAAGGAAATTTACAAAGTCATCAATAAGATATGGTCCAACATATGATAATGCAGCACTTAACACTGCTAAACCAGCGTTAATGGCTGCTTTCTTCCTGCAAAACAAATAAATTGCCTTATAGATTGATGCATCTACGCCTCCATTCTTCTTCATTACGAAGTCTAGCTTCTCCGTGAAGGCATTGGATACAAACTTAGCAGAGTCATTTCTACAAACATCTGGTATGTCTTCGTGTTCGAGGCGTCTCTTGTATCCCAAAGCGAAAAGGGGATTGAGCCATGAGAAGGCAATGAGTTGCAGAAGAGTTGCCCTCTCGTAAGCAGAGCCTCTCTTGTCTTCCTCATGATCAGAGCAATTTTCATGGAGAAGTGGATCGGCCAAGCCATTATGAACAATGAAAACTATGCCAGTCTTCCCATAAACCGAAAGCGCAAGCAGGAAAATCAATGGAAGAAGGAAAACAAGTTGGGTGCAAGTGTAAGCTCTTACTTGACTTCCATCACCAAATTTTTCATAGAGAGCCACACGGATGATCGATAAAAAGAAGCTGCAAATCCACCATCCTCGTAGCAGCCAAGGATACTTGACAGACTTGTTGCGAACGATGCCACAAACTGCAACCGCCGCAACTCCCCAAGCAACCACTTGAATAATCTCGGAGGAAAATACAAAGCTTTCCGTACGGCAACGAGATCCAATCCCATATAGCAGAGCGAAGAACATCAAAACATGGCCAGCACATAAGAATATGGTGCAAGCTACACTCGCTTTGTAAAAACCACTTAAATTCCGGCCGATCAGGCGATTTTCCGATGCTTGATCGGTTATTTTTCTTCCTCCTCTGAGATAATCTGATATCTGAACGATACATTTCAGAACAAACTGAACAAACAAGATTACCGCGAACCCTAGTTGCACGCCAATGCTCAAATGTTCGCCAAGACATGGAGATTCAAGCTGCTGCCATAACCAATCACCTTCAAATCCCAGAAGCTTGAATTCTGTATCAGATTATCAAACAGTTTCACCGGTTTGAGGAAAAAACAATGGATTAAGCATAAGAACGTAATTTGTGGAGGGAAGAAAAATACGAAAATTGATTAAAAATAGAAGAAAATCCCTTTACATTACGTATTTTAATTATATATATATTTACGATATTGCCATTAAATGAATTGCTAATTTTCTTCATCGAGTTCTGTTTTTTTTTTTTTTGCTTAATTATTTGTAAATAAAATAAAAATAATTTGGTAAACACATTTTCAATTTACAATTATTTTTAAAAATATATTTAAAACCGAACTAATTTAATCAGAATCTTAAAATAATTACCGAAATCATAATATAAGAATTTAAATTCATTAAACTTAGATTATAAATAAAAATTTTGAGGTAAAAAATTAGAGTTTATTACTAATTTAAATATATATATATATATATATATATATATTTGGGTGTTATTTTAATTGTTTTTTCCTCTCCCTCTTTGAAGAAAAAGAGGAAAAAACTTACTTGAAAGAGTGAGGAGAGAACCCAACATGATTATGAGGCTCCGTGGAAATAGGGTTCTAATTTTGAGAAGATTAAGGTATAAATAGAGACCTTCAATTTTTTTTTTTTTTTTTTTTTTTTATAAANTTTTTTTTTTAATGCAATAAAGTAAGTTTCCTGGCTTCTTCCAAATTTGTTCGACGAAAAGAGTCAAAGTACTTTAAAAAAAAAAGAGGCATTTATATGTGAAATTACACTTCTACCCTTTAAGAATGTTGGAAAATAATAGGATTCTTCAAAGTTATAAGGATAGAAAAGACATTTCCAATTTGGTATAGGCTATTTTAAGACCAAAAAATAATGCATGCCAACCTTTATCATAAAGTTTAATATAATATAATAATAATACACGTGGAAAATTCATGCTTGGGGTTCAAGTATTGCATTTATTTATTTATTATTTATTTTTTATTTTCCATTTTAGCTACCTACCTACCTAGGCCCCATTATCATTTTTTGTCGTATTTAATAACCAATCTATCAACCTTATCTTTGTCTCAATTCTTTTTATCTAAAATATTATATTTAAAATTTTCTCCTTTATTTTTTTCACGTATATTATTGGTCGTGTCTGAATTCTTGATTTATTTATCTTTTAATTCTTTGTTACGCTTCTTTTAGTCTCTAATCAAGTCTCGTTCGATAAGCATTTTTGCATATTGTGGGATAGGTTTCAGTCTCGATCTCTTATTTATAGAATTTTGAGATTTTCTCTTATGAATGAGCTTGTAGGCTTCATTTTGTGAGCGATGGTGCACTAATTGGAGCTTGGACTTTGTTGGTTGGTCTCAACAATTGAGCCTCGGGTTTATTTTGGTAGTGATATGGCCATTAGATAAGCCTAAAAGTTTACCTCGGGGATATAAAATTGCAAAAAATGTCATTAAGTTAGTTGAACCGAGCTCGAAGGGTTTTCTTGACTTGGGGGTACGCTTGATCTAGGCCTACAAAGATGTTAGATAGCCAAGGTTGAAAACAAGAGGAAAGAACTTATATACCTCACAACTAGGGTTTTTTTTACCCCTTATAGAATTAGGATAAAAGAGGATCAGATCAGAGTTGGACTGAAATTCCACGAGTTAAGTGAGCGTTGAGTGCAACCCTTCAAGAAGAGTTGACTCTAGGCCAAAACCAGTTATGAACTCGAGTTTCGACTCAAGGGCTAAGTTCTTATTCTACTTTGATCCGTTTTAATCTATTTTAGGCTTTTATACTTTATTTTGCCCTTAATTGCTCTAATCCTTTGATTCGTTCTTGTCGTTCTTGTGATGCAATTTTACCGGTAATAATAATAAAAATGATAAAATAAAACAAACGTCATAAAAGTTAAATACAATAAATAAATGTGAAAACTCCATGCTTGGAATTCAAGTATTGGATACCCTTTGTTCTTAAGTTTGAGTTGCCTCCATCATCCACTTCTATATTGTCCCATTAAGGCAACTTCTTTAATGACTAAGCAGCCACGGATCATTTTGACGTATCTTCAGTAAACTATAAGTCAAGCTATTCCGCACCTTTCTTTCAAACAAATGAAAGAACAAATCTTTTATTTATTTCGTCTTTCAAGCATAATCAACTTCAATCAAAGAGTCAATGAATGAACCTAGATGATAGATGCATCCTTAGTAGATTTTTCCGTCCAAATTTTTAAAAAATTAAAAACATTTTCATGACAGCCACTAATCTTAATTTAATTGATTCCACTTTATGTTCCTGTTGTAATGGTTTGAACATAAGAGTAAAGTCTTTATTATAAACTCATCTTTTTCCAAATTATTTGTTTCTTCCAACTTTTCTAAACCTTTTGCCTTCATCGTTACATTAATTTAACTTAGCTAATAACAAAGATGCAAATAGGAATAGAAACAAAAATAATTTAGACCCACAAAAATCTCCAAGGTCCTTTTCAAAGGTCATAAAAGGACAACTTGAAGAGGAATGCATAGTCGACCCATGAAGTCGTACTTTCCGCTCCCTCCAAATATGGTTAAGTAGATGCACACTAGACTAGTCTCCAAATACGACATCGACATCACAATTTGTTATCCTTGCTCACCTAGTTGATCCAACTTGATCTCTACTAATTGAATATGGGACTAGATGAAGGGAAGCTTTACACGAAAAAAGAGGAAAAGGTCGGTATGAACCTCTCCAAGACAAAACACTATCCAAAACTATTCGATTGCAGAGGCAATCCAAACAACAAATGATCCTGAGATTCAACAGAGCAGTCTAACATAATAGAATAACCCAACTATAATCTATCACGAACTACCAACTCAGCAATGAAAGAAACATATCCCAAGAAGTTAGAAATCATCTCGGTCGGGTCCGATAGCTTCGCAGAACTCACCACAAAAAAATGGTCAGAGCAATGAGGAATCCAAAGGACCCATCCTCTCTGGTCAAACATGATGGTATTAAGTGTACAAGAGGCAAAAGTACAATAAGATACTTCCTAGAACTTTCATTCAATAATAAAAGAAGAAAAATTCTAGAGATGCTGAAAATGGTCATTCTTTGAGATCATTCAATAGTTTCTTTTAAGTTCAACCACATGCGAGCGAGGATTGAGATTTAAATATCGAGCCTTCTTAGTTGAATTATGCTCGAGTTGGTAACGACAACTAAAAAGTAAAAAAGAAAAACTGTGAACGAGTCTAATGGTATTGTGAACTTGAGGCCTGTAATAAGCAGGAGTAACCCAAACAACACTAGAATTGCTTCTAGAGTTCAAATGAACTCGTGAGAATCTAGCTAGGCAACTTCTGCTATTTCACTATAATCTTAAAAAGACTATAATGGATTAGTCTCTACCAAGGATCTCTAAACAATCCAATCCCCATCTTTCTCCTAGAATCAACTCGGGGTTACAACTCAACGAACTTTTTGAAAATGCTTACCACGATCACAATTGCAAACTGCAATTTAATGTTGCTTATATGTCTCCATCATCCAAGAGCTGCTCACAAGCTCTATTCATAACTTTGATTAGCCAAACTATTGAAGTTTTGAGACCTCGTGGAGTACTCTTTAATTAGCTTAGAGAAAAACGAGTCCTCTCTTTTGAGAAGCATGTTCGGTGAGTCGAACTCAGCAATTCTTCCTGCTCATAAAAAACAGTACTAGTTTAGTCTCTAATATATCAAAATCTTATCAGTAAAGTAACCAATGCAAAGAATAGAAAGCAAGATCATATATGAATGAATGGGGAAAGAACTTCAGAACCCACCATCACTGAGAACCAAGACAAAATCGCTATCAATGATGGTGTGGATTCTATGAGCTATGGTAACCACGGTACGATCTTTGAACTCTTGGCCGATGATGTTTTGTATGATGCCATCAGTGGCAGAATCAACGGAGGCTGTTGCTTCATCAAGCACTAGAATACGACTCTTGGAGAGCAATGCCCTTCCCAGACAAAATAGTTGTCGTTGACCCACACTCCAATTTTCTCCATTTTCAACCACTGTCAAAAATTTAAACTATGATGTATTAGAAAGGCTAAGTATACCTCACTTTCTAGTAAGTGTAATCAGTTTCAAATTAGCAAGCTCAACCTGAAGAATTCAACTTCTCGTCCTTTGCACGCACCAAATCACCTAGTAGACATTTGTCCAAGGCCTGAGACACAAAAAGCACAGTAAACTATAATTCCGGCTCCTATCCTTTCAACTTGGGTTCATTTTGGTCCCAGTACCTTTAAAGTGTCTATTTTGGTCTCTGTCTTTTCAACTTTGGTTCTTTTTAGTATTTGTTCTTTCAAAACATGTGACCATTTTGATTCTATGTCTAAATTTTGCAAATAGAAACTACATTGGTTATTTTTTAAAATTTCTAGATCAAAACAGACGTTTTGAAAGTATGATGACTAAAATAACAAAAGTTGAAATTATAGAAATCAAAATAAACCAAATCCAAAAGTACAAAGACCAAAATAGTATTTAAACGTTGCAGAGAAGAAACGTTACCTCCCAAATTTCCTGGTCAGTATACTGACCCAGTGGGTCGAGGTTTCCTCTAACTGTTCCTTCAAACATAGAAGGGTCTTGAGGGATGATGCTTAGCCTTGATCTCAGGTCATGGAGGCCTATCTTGCAAATGTCAATGTCGTCTATTATAATGGTTCCCTCTTTAGGTTCAACAATCCTAAAAAGTGCCTGTATGAGAGTTGATTTCCCACTGCCCGTCCTTCCTACAACACCCACTTTCTTTCTTGCTGGGAAGGTGCAACTGATGCTTTTCAGGACATCCGGGAGATGGTCTGCATATCGAATCTACAAAAGGTTGAAGCTCATTAGAGAGAAAATTGTATGCATAATAGAACCAGTACTTCTGATCATATCAAATTGTTTAACATGCAAATCTGTTAACTTCGGATATATGGTACTGAATATATGGCTCAAGTACTCTAGAGTTTTCTTATGCTAAATTTTATGGAGTTTCACCCGCAAATTTTTGAAGCAAATCCTCCCCTCTTGCGGCCAATTGCTTGGTGGTCTGCAATTCTCAATAACAAGAGGTGCTTCACTCTTTATTTTTGAGTACTGAAGAATTCTTTCAACTGATATGATTTTATTCTCTGCGTTGCATATGTTCCAGATAACTGAAGTTTGCATATAATTCAAGTTTATCCCATACGTCACTGCCAGACCTGCCATACCTGAAAAAATTCCAATTCATTGTAAATAGAAATTAATTTGGCTTCCTAAAAAATTTCAGTTTATGATTTCTTTAGTGGTAAAGCATATATACAAACAAGTTGTATCAAAGAAACTCACTTGGATTAATAACTCCTTCGGGGAGAGATACCAGCAAAACAAATGAAAATCCAAAAACAAAATTTGATAGAATGTTCAGTCTGAAACAAAGCCACTCCATGACTGAAACATTATGGAACCACGGCCTTGAAAAGTCATCAATAAGAGCAAGGTTAGTTTTGAAAAATCTGTCTTCTTGATTGAAAGCGCGAATAGTTGCTGCTCCTGCTAGGGACTCTGCAAACTGGTGGAGAATTGGAGCTTGTTGTATCCCAGATAACCGAGCAA